TGTTGTCTTTTGAGCTTCAGGTCTTTTGAAACAGGAAGACGAAAAAAATAAAAAAGAGAGAGATTTTCAGGACCTGTTGGAGATCTGAGCAGAGAGGCAGAGAGCTGGGGGTGGGGAGGTGAGTGAGTCATAGCCTGATTCTGTTGGATTTTCACAAAGTAACTGGAGATTTCAGCTTCTGCTTAGGAAAGAGAGGGGCCCTGGAAGCCTGTCTTTCTGGCCCCCTTCCCAGCCTGCCTCTATTTCCACACATACTCCACTGCACCCTTGGGTGGCTCCCGGAGGCCTCCTGACCTAACACCATTTTTTTTCTGTGTGTGTGTGTCAGGTTCCCATGGAAAGAAACCATTCCTTCCCTGGTCCCTGAGGGCAAACCTGCAGAATGACCTCAACAGGCCATTGCTCTCCCTGACCCCTGTTTCCTTGTCCATAGCATATTGACGCCCTAGTGACGTCAGCATCCCCCTGGTACCACACTCCCCAGGGACCAACAAGCCTGAAAGGTTTGTCTCCTATCCTTGCCCCTCACTTTCCCAGTGTCCTGGCTGCCTGGGGCTCTTCAGGGTCTTCACCGGGGCCAGGTCTCCTCTATACTTCTGTGATTCTCTGGCCAACCTTCATCTCTCCATCAGAGCTCACAGTTGTATTGAGACCGTCTCACATGACTGCCCAGAATCATCAGTAGATTTCGGAGGAAGGGGGCATCTTTTCAATTCTAAAATGTGATTTCTTTTCTAAACTTTAAGCATCACAGTCTTTCACACTCATCTCCACACTCACCTGGAGCACACTCAACTCCACACTCACCTGGAGCACACACAACTCCTTCCTCCCTTAGGGACTGAGAGGAACATCTTCTATTAGTGGATTTGGGAGATTCATCCATTCAACCACCTGCCTGATGGCCCAGCAGCTACTTTGCTGCCAGCCAGTGTGGGAAAGAAGCCACGAATCGGCACCCTGCTCCAGTGACCATGGCACCCATGCCATCCCTTCCCAGGGAACATCCTCAGCCATAATGGAGAAATGATTTATAGTAAAAATCAAAAGAGCACTCACTTTAGTGAGCCACCCATGCAGAAAGGGCATTAGGCTGCTTCGGGTGGGAGCTACAGCTGAGGATGGCAGAATCCAGGTTGGGAGTTGACACAGGATGGCCATCAGGGAGAACGCTGCGGGCCTGACCCCTTCTCGGTGGCCCTAGGACATCATTCATGCATGTTACCTTGGAAGGGTCTCCATCTTGGAGACTACTTAGCAAGTGGACCGCACATCCCAACTAGAAGATGGCACCTGTTCTCCCTCTGTGCCTCCCACAACCCTCAGCCACAGGGCACAGTCACCAAAGCTGTGGGACTCACTCTACTCGCTCCCTGTCCCCTCCTCCTCAGCTGAAGTATTGCCACCTCTCCAGGACGATTGCACCAGCCCCTGCTGAGTCTCTTGCCTTCGATTTTGGCTTCGATAAGCAGCTTACAAAGAATCTTCCAGATTGCAGACGGAGTCATGTCCCTTGACACTCGAGAAACATGCCATGGTCTCACCCTCATCCCTGGTAAAAATCCAAGCTGGGGCAGATAGCTCTGTGGGGCCATCAAGACGGCTTTCAAGGTCCACTTCCTGCCCCTAAGGAACTTCCTGTAAGAAGCTCTTACTTACTCTGCCGGGACTCTCAGGGTTTAAACTCCACAACACCTTCCTTGCTGTACTTCTGGGCACCCGGAACAGGACCAGCAATGGCTGACATAAGTCCTGTGTGCTGTTTGCCCCAATAGGTGTTGAGAGTGACTCATCACAAGGGAATAGGGATGCTGCTGTGACCCTGGCTTCTCTCTGCCTCCTCCAGGTTTCCAAGACCCTGTCCTGAAGGAGCTTGCTCTAGCAAAGCTGAGGGAGATGCTACCTCCCTCCAATCCTTTCCCCTCCTTGAACCCTCTGGGTCTTGGTGACAGGCTGAGGGCCTCTTCCCCTTTGGCTGACCTGTGGGCACGGATGTACTCTAGGTGTGAAGGCACAGGGCACAGATGGCTCCATTTGCAGGAGGGTGCCAACGCCTGGTACTCGGATGCATTTGCTTTCTCAGAGGGTGGCATCAGCCCAGAATCACCTCAAATTACAAGAACATCCTGCCTTTCAAGAAAGTGAAGAATTTCGGGGGAGTGTAGGGCGGTGTTTTGGGCAAACAGGGCCTCCTCTGAGTTCCTTCTGCCAAGCACTCTAGGTTTTCCTCAATGCTGCCAATGGTGAGGCTCAGGCCATAGCCCTCGGATGGGATGGGCTCTGCTGGGTGGGCCCAGATGATCCAGGAAGCTTCTGGGTTTACAGGCCCTCTTATTAGAGACAACCAACACGAGGCCAATTTATTATTCTCTATGGTGCCCATCTCATTTGGATGGAGTGGCACCCATTTGGCTGGCCTGTCTAACTCTGCTCTGGAGGGCTGGGTTGTCGTTTTGCATTTATGGAGACATAAGTTGTAAATGATTCTGATTTAAAACTACTAGATTTACAGACACACTGGAAGGAGGGCCCAGAGCTCCCATGGCCTTGCGATTCCACCCTTTCTTCTGCTAGGTGCACAGCTGGAGGAGGCAGTTCAGTGACTCATTGGCTCACTTCACCTGGCACCCCGCCCTGTCCCATCCAGAACCCAGAGACACTTGGTTCTGTCCAGACTCCTTGCTTTCTGAGGTTTGGCTGTTTGAGTTCTTTGTAGGACTTCCCTCAATTTTGGGTTAATTGCTTTGAGACTTTTGTGGGGTGCTCTTCAATTTTGGTTGTCTGATGTTTGGTTTTTGGTTATTTTGGGGGTGATGCAGTGTCTCTTCATGTTGAATTGACCCAGGGTACATGCGGTACACAAGGGACCCCCAGGAATGCCAGTTGGCACTGTTTCACAGAGGGATATCCTCGCTGGCTCAAGGCTCATTGACCCTTAGTCTTTCGTTAGTCGGTCATCAGGGGTCATCACCCATATTTAGCTGCTGTCTGGAGTGAATGGCACCAACATAAATTACTCTGAGTTACCTATTCAATGATCTGTGTCCCTTAATGACTCATGGACAGTTTAACATCATTTTTAAAGTTATTATTGTGTCTGTGGATGTCGAAGTACAAGTTTATGGAATTGGTTCCTTCTACACAGGTCCTAGAGTGGAACCCACGGAGCCAGGCTTGCACCAAACTCATGTCTACCATTGGAGGCGTCTCAGCAGCTTTCCGACATTTGAATGTTGAGTTATGCGGTAGTCTGAATGTAATTGGTCCCCATAAGATTATAGGGAGTGGCGCTATTTGGTAGGTGTGGCCTTGTTGCAATGGGTACTTGTTTGGAGGAAGTATGTCACAGGGGGGCGGGCTTTGAGGTCTCATATATGCTCCAGCCACACCCAGTGTCAGCTCACTTCCTGTTGTCTGCAGGATAAGAAACAGCTCCTTCTCCAGCACATCTGCACACCACCATGCTGGTAATGAACTAGACGTCCAAACTGTTAAGCCACCCCAATTAAATGTTTTCCCTCACAAGAGTTGCCATGGTCATGGTGTCTATTCAAAGCAACAGAAACCCTAAAACAGTTATAATCTTAGACTGCTATTAAGGACCACATTGAAGTCAGTCCATGTTACACTGTTGAGTGCTATATACACACACACTTAAGGTTCATCTAGTCTTAGTAAGAATCACCCATTTCCTCTGGTGAGAGGTTGGTTCCTTTAGTTGGTAAATGGCATTTTTACCAAAATCTAGATAATCTCATTGGTTCCAGGAGCAAATGTACACCCAGTGAGTTATTCTTTATTCCTCTGTCTCTGAAAGAAGATAAAACCCCCACACATCAAGGACCTTGGCTACCTGCAGGACAGTTTGGTGCAGTTGGAGGACCTTGGCTACCTGCAGGACAGTTTGGTGCAGTTGGAGTGGAGACAGCCCAGATGTTTGGTGTATTTCAACTTGTTTTCTTTGAATTAATTTGTAAATAAGTTAAGATAAAAATCTGTGCAGCTAATAAAGCCCATGCTCTTCCTCTGGAGTCATTTGTCCCAGGAGGCTCTGGGATAAGATCTAAAGTTTCCGGTTGCCATGACTGGGTAGTGGCAATGGCTACTGACAGCTAGTGAACAGAAACCAGGAAGGTGGCTTCAGTTCCCACAGTGCCCAAGAGGGTCCCCAGCACCCCAGCCAAGCCTCATGTGAGTAGTGCCCAGAGAAACAAAGAATACACGTGAATAAGGACCCTGGGGATCCTTGGGAAGAGGGTAGCTACCAGGAGCCATTCTTCTTTCTCCCAGAGCATCTTTCCTGACACATACGGTGATTTTCACAGCTCCTGAACGGTCCTCTCCCCATTAGAAACACCCAGGAGAGAGCCTTGCCTCTGTGAGGACAAGTGGGGAGATGAGGGACAGGCAACAACAGAAAGGAAGGAAGCTAAGTGTGCAGAAATGCTGGGGAGCAGTACCAGCACGCCCGAGGACAACAGGGCCCTCCTTCTGGACGCTGGCTTCTCAAAGGAAACCACATTTTACAGAATTCATGTGCTCTAAGGGCTAAGGGTCTTACTTTAGCTTCTGCTCACAAAACAGCTGATAAATAATCCCCCAGCTGAGCTTCAAAGCCAATCTGCTCTTTAAAACTTAACCTTTCCTGTTTGTGTCTGAATCTTCAATTTCTTGCCACCCCCCAACCCACCCCCCCACCCCCCCCCCCATCCATCCAGTTAGGCACTCATCCATCCATCCATGCACACACCCATTCATTCTGTCAGGTACCCACCCATCCCATCAGGGGTTACTGTATTCTCAGTGAAAGATGCTCCCATCCTGTTGCACTTGAGCCTAATCTAATAAATGGGAACAGACATTAAGAAATAAAATCAAGCAAAGTCTGTGCTAGAAGCAGAGGAACCAAAACAAGTAAAAAAGGACCACACTCGTACTCCTTAAAGCCCAGGAAGCAGAGCTGAGCAGCGCGCAGAGAACAGAAGAGACTGTGACATCCGTCAATCTTTCTTCACAAGTTTATTAGGAGAGAGGCATGGTGTTAACTCATAAAACTGGGTGTTTGGGCCCCAGAACTCACTCTTATAGAGGTGGTTAACAACTAAGACACCCTTCAGACTGGGCACAGTGGTTTGTGCTTATAATAACCATTACTCAAGAGTCTAAAGCATGAGGGTTCCAAGTTTAAAGTCAGTATGGGCAACTCAGTGAGATCTTGTCTCAAAATAAATAAAGCGGGGGGGCGTGCCAGTGTAGATCAGTGGTAGAGCACTCACATGTGGACCTGGCTTCAATCCTAGTCCTGTGGAAAAGAAAGAAAAGGACATCAATGAAAAATAAACCACCCATATCACAGAAGGCCTAGTGCTAGGAAGCAGGAGTGGTGGAAAGACTCCCTGAAAAGGATGCAGGAAGGCAGCAGGACACTGTCAGCCTATAGCAGACAGGGTGGGCCCAAAGTCTCTGGTGCCTTCGCCCAGCCATAGCATGGGCACCAACCGCGGCTGGAATAGCCTGGCAGAGATTGCCATGAGGGACCAGGTCAAGGGAAGCAGCCAATCCCCAGAACAAGGGTCTACTTACAGTGTGATGCTCTGCAGACACCTTCAGGAGAGCCTCCACCCAACCCTCTGAAGCGAGCACAACAGGATTGAGGGGGGGCCCTCCAGAAAGGTCCTTTCCAGTTATCTTTCACGAGGCTGATCTGTTTGCATGGGGATGGAGATCCCCTCTTGGGCCCTCCCGGTTCTCCCTCTGTCTCTCCAACCCCAAGACCCCAGAGAGTCTCTTTCTGGACAAGGTTCCAAAATGATCACTAACCTTGGACAGCCTGCTCAGCTAGCCAAGCCCCCTCTCAGGCGCCTGGACTCAGAAGTCATGGGTTTGAAATGCAAGTATGGTGGCCCGAGAAGCAGGACCCTCCCACTTCTTGGTGGCCTCCAGATACAACTGTCTCTGGCACTTTCTATCTCAGTCAGCTACCTTGACGGGGAAGGGGATCTCTGAGGACAAGTTTTGTGTATAACCAGGAGCATTCTGTTGGAGTCCACGATAGCTATGAACAAGGGAAGCTGTTGGCCCACTCCTAAGCAGAGAGAAGGCTAGTTCCTCCCAGTCATAAAATCCAAGGGAAGAACAGCCCTCCTCTGCCAAAGGCCTGGGCCTCTTCTGCTGGGCCCCAATGCTGTCGATGTTTCTTGAAGCCCTGGAGATTCCACAACTCTGAGAAGGAGCCACCTTGCTGGATCTATGTTCCAGCAGGACCCAGCTCTCTACTCAGAAGGCCCCATGAGTACTGGGTCTGGGTAAGGTGATAGTCAGTTCTTACCTCAGAAGACAGAGCTCCCCGGAGCTCTCCTGCTTAGCAAACCTTCCCTTCAGGATTGAAGGTTGTGCTCCACATACAAGAGACTGAAGTGGAGCAGGTTTCCAATCTCGAAGGGGCCTTTGTGAGGCTCCACATCACACAACACAGTGGCAAGGATCCAAAGGAAGCACAGGGCTGAAGGCTCCAAAGATGCTTACGAGAGAAAAATGGGGCGGGGAGTATTAACAGCATAAACAAAACAGATATGGCCATAGTTATAAAGTTCTTCGACTTAATGTCTGGCCTAGTGGCCAAACAGCCATTTAAAGACATATTTATGGGCAATCTTTGGGCTATTGTTTGACCATGTGAGACATAAGAGTCATGATTTTGGAAATACAGGTCCTTTTCTAATGTGGGAATACAGGTCATCAACAAATAGGCTTGGAAGTCATCTTCCAAGGTCTTTGTCCATGATCCTAGACAAATCATGTTCCCAGAACCCTTTTCTTTAGGGCCCTCTCCCAGGCAAGCACAGTAACTTGAGTCTGAAGATGTGATTTCTCAGTTTAGAAAAGACCAAGCAGAACAAGACAGGGCCATGGTCCTCCAGCTGATCCGGTAAAGCAAGGACAAGGGACAAAAACAAATGAATCAATGAGGCCTATCCTTCACCTCAACCACCACCATTAGGGACAACAAACACAGGCACTCACAGGTGACATGGCTTGAACAACTGAGGATGGTACCATGCCTAAGAGGAGCTCAGGACAGAAGGGTCCCAGGAATCCTGTGCCGAGGCTCTCAGAGAAGGTGTTTTAGTGCATACCCTACTGGGGAGGGCTGGGGTACTTTGTACTCCACTGGAGCCCCCAGAGGAAGAGCACAGCTTTACTGGGGGTCCCAGGAGTATCAAGGTGACCCCCTCATAGAGACCCCTCTGTGGTTATCAGCTTCTCAATGCATCTGACTTGGAGATGCTCAGCAGCCTGCCATCTTCCTCAAGGACTGGAGAGGTGGCCCAGACGCTGGCCATACAAACACACACATAGAGTTTCCCACCTATCAGCTCTCAGCTCTCCAGACTGCCAAGAAGGTAAGCTGTGATCTCAAAGGTGCTGAGCCAATGCTATTAGAAGTGCACCCCACCATCCTCAAGGTCACCTTGGGATCTCCCTACCACTCGGGGTGGTTGTTCAAAACTGTTTCAGCCTATGGCCTTAGCTCTGGCTTAGAATTAAGAGTCCACAAATATGAGGGCCCCTCTTTACACTGCCAGTGAGGCCCCAGAGAAGCCTCTCCCAGGCATTACCGCTTCAGTGAACATCCCTCAAATCCTTGGTCTAGGGTAGCCCAGACAGTCATCAGCTACAGGTCAACCTTGAGCTTCTGTTCATTTGCCTCCTGCATGTAGCACGACCACCATGAGGGCCAATTAGGCCTCACCTGAGGTAAATTATCTCCTTGCCACTCTTCCCTGTAACCCTCAGTGCTTCAAGTGTAGACCCCAACCCGAGTGAGTGGAAAGTTACCTGCCTCCCTCTTTATACCTCTGGACAGCTCCAGCCAGCTCATTCCAAAGCAAGGGCCTTCCCACCAGCTCCCTCTCAGGCCTGCTGCAGGCAGGCTCCTGAGGGCCTGACATCACCTCAGCTCCAGTCTCCTCTTGGACTGTCCTCAAAGGACCCTCCGTTTCCAACAAGCAGCAGAGAGTAGTGTTTGAGAAACTGGCTCTGGAAGTCAACTGACCTCCTAAGTTAGACGCTAGGCTGTGCGCCTTTCCACCTGTGTGGCCCTGGGCTAGTCAGGACCTCTCTTGTAGTTAAGCTTCCTCTTTGAGTTGCCATGAAGATTCAGTAATTAAATGAACATATAGTGCCCCTGAGGCCCAGGACTCCACACTGCAGACACTATAAACAGGTCAATAAGAATGAGGGCCTCTGAATACCCAAGACTGAGCGCAGAGCAGTAAGCAGGTACCACGGTGCCACAGGACGCAGCATAGGAGATGGGAGCATGCAAACGGCGCTCTTTTCATACTACCATTTCTTCCAAGAAGCAAGAGTGAGCTGGGGAGAAGTCTGTACAGTCAAGGAAATGAAGGAAACCCAGGAGAGATAAGAATAGAGCTGAACCTGGGGCTACCTGATACCCACCCAAGGGTCCCTTTCCCCAGCCTCAACCCCTTCTTCTCATCTGCTTATGTGCTGAGAGGCAAGCTCCAGATTTCAGGACCTTCTTGATGATGTCTCTGCATTTCTATGCCAGGCCAGGCCCTACCCAGATGGAGTGAAGGGAGGCCCAGGGGCAGACAGCACAGATGTTATGTTGTCATGGTAACTACCTAACTCTGGTACAGGCCAGGTTACTAAGGAGTCACAAAGAGGGAACTGGGCAGCCATGCTGGCTTATTAAGCCTATCCAAGGCCTCCATGAAAACTCATTCTCTAGTCCCCTGGCCTTCCCCTCTGCAGACACAGTCTGTGTCAATGATCCAGCCCTAGGCCTCCTAGACCAAAAGGTCAGCTGCAGGGTATCCGCCTGTTACAAGGGCCCGGTATTCCTGGGACAAGAACAGCTGCTCTGTACTTCAGAAAAGGCAGAGGCTCCCTCTTTAAGATGAGTGACAGGGTTGGGTGACAGCAGGTATCTCAGTGGACCAACAGGGGGCAGTCGCCCCTTGCCCATGGCCATCTGTGGTCAGGCGGATGGCGGGTCCAGAAGACCAGAGGTTCCTCTATGTCTTAAGTTACATATCTGAGGATTTTGGTAAAAACCTAGTACTTAAACACTAGTCAATGAGCTATTATTATCCAGACCAAGAAAGGAAGAAGGAAAATGTGTGGCTGTAGCATCACATACTTAGATGACTAGGACTGAGGGAGGTGGTCTCTAACGCTACCTTACAATGGTGGGTGTTCAAATATACTTTTTATCACCAGGGCTATTGCTTTCTTTCTGAGGCCCAGGGCTTGGTCGATCTCACTTTGAACCCACTCAGATTCTTGCCTGGAGTCCTAGAGAAGAAAACAGGGTACTGAGTTTAGCATTCATTTCTCCTTAACACCAGAACAGGGCCCGATCCATAGGCTTTCTCCCTGACCCCAGCCATCCCTGAGAGCTCTACCCTCTTTACTCCAGCCTGTTCTGTCTGCCCTCAGACCCTGCACTTGCTTCAGTGTTCCTCACCTGTCCCTGGCACCTCCAGCTTATTCATTATTCACAGGTTAGGTAGTGCCCAGGCCCTAATCCTGCCCCATTCTCCTGACCATATCTAGGCATAGCAAAATTGTCCTCCAAATCCCATCGCTCCACTCTGCTGCCAACCGAGCTGCCATTTGGCCTATGACATTTAAAACCACCTGCCTCCCCTTGCCACATAGGACCCAATACTCCCAGTTGCCTGGACACTGCTGCCTTGCTTGGCTCCGCACGCCTGGCTCCCAGCACACTTGCTTGCTGACCTACAGCTCAGGCCATTCAACCCTTTTTCAGTCAGCCTATCTTAATTTGGCTCCTTCACCCCATGGATGGCCCCACATTCCTGCCCCTATAAGGAGAAGTCAAGCAGGGGACTGGGGGTGTTTTGAGCGGCAGGACAAGGTGCGGGCCATTTGTATGCCCGTAAGATGGAAGCACATGCCTAGAGCATGGTGTGATGTCCGCTACAGCTGTCCCCTTCTCCTTGGCTCCCAACCCCAGTGGGCCCCATGGCCCTGCTATTAATATAATACAAAGAGGCCTACCAACTGGCTGAGCTGAACTCTTTCCACAGGCAGTGACAACTGTCATCATGTAGATTCCAAATGTCCCCACCATACATTCTTCCAAAAAGAGCACAGCTGAACCTGCCTGAATGCCTGCTGCTTTAGATGTGCTGACTGGCCTTGACAAAAACAGAGACTGCCAAAGACTAATTTCTCCAAATTCTTTCAAGGGGTTCCCAATGCAAGAAGTAGTTATAAGGAAGTCCTGGGGCTTACAACCGCCTAAGGGCCCTAGGTAGTGCCCAACCCAGTTGAGTGGCACATGTCACCAAGCACAGGAGGAAAGTGTTTGGAAGTTCCCTATCAGCTCTCTGCAAGGAAAAGAAGATGGGCTTCTTCACCTTACCCAAAGAACCAAGAAGGGGCAATAACCATAAACTGAGAACAGGGAAAGCCACTGCTGTCCAACACTGCCACAAGCGAGCTTTGTGCGTTCTGGACCCACCTGGCAGGGCTCTAGGAGAGGAAGGGTGCCAGTCAGCAGGGCAGAAAGGTGGACACACAGATGGCTACCATGGCCATCCTCGGCTTGTTGACCTCACCTCCACCTGGGTGTATTTAAAAACTTCCTTAACAAGCTTAAGAATGTGCACATGGTAACAGGATTCTAGAAAAACTAAGAGACCTGTACACAGAGGCCTTTCCTGGGCACCTCTTGATATATGGAGAGAAGAGAAGAGTGAAGTCCCCACCCTACCTACTCCCCAGATAATCCAAGATGGCTCCAACTAATCCAGACCTGAGGGCACAAGCTGAACATACGCTTTTAAATTTTAGCATTGGGGGCAGAGAGTGATGGTGGCTCAGTAGTAGAGTGTTTGCCTCATATGCCCGAGTCCCTGGATTCTATCTCTGGCACCAGGAACAAAAAAAGAAAGAAAGAAAGAAAGAAAGAAAGAAAGAAAGAGAGAGAGAGAGAGAGAGAGAGAGAGAGAGAGAGAGAGAGAAAGAAAGAAAGAAAGAAAGAAAGAGGGAGGGAGAGAGAGAGACAGAGAGAGAGAGAGCCTAGCATTTAAAAATACTGTCACGAGCCCCTGTGACCGGGGACTAGGCCCAGTCAGGTGCATGTCATGCTCACTGTGAATAGTTCTGGTCCATCATGCAGGCATGATTGGCTCTCTGTGCAAGGAGTCCTGGGCCACAAGACAAATCAGTATTTTTAGGCAAATCTTGGCATCGCAGACAAACAACATAAAGTGAAAGAAGTCTACATCCTTCCACCAGAATCCTGAAAACCCAAAGGGCCTTGAGGACAGATGTCATCCTATGAGACTGACGAGACCCTGGCCAGAAGCAGAGCTGGCCCTGGCACACGGTACTCTAGGAAGCAGCTCACCAGAGCCCGAGGACAAGGGCAGCTCCTATGATAAGGCTGCTTTGTCTGTAGTGCAAACATGCACAGTGACAGCAAATGTCACATCCAAGTCCCTCAAGACGATGACTTCT